TATTCTCATTTTACAGAAGAATAAAGCATTAAATAAAAACTTTCCTTAGGTAGAGCCAGAAGTCAAATCTAGATGTGGTTACCAAACCAATGTTTTAAAATATGGTTTTAAAAAGTTAAAGTAACATTGTACTTTTAGAAACCAAAAAAGTCAATTATAATTTCATTATGCAGAGGTTACCACTGTTCACTGTTTCTAATATACATATACATATATATATACACACACACATAAATCTTAAAAATACTCAGGTATCTGAATCACTGTTTACAAATAGTTTGGCTTACTTTTTTTCACTTAACACACCAAAAATCTCTTCCCAATACTTATTATATATTTCAGTAACTTTTCAAAAAGGATGCTTATTATTTTACCACATGACTGTACCTTATACTGATTAACCAATCTATTATGGTATAAATTGTTTCCAATTTTGTGCCATATATGTGTACATAAATCTTAGTGCATAACCTTATTTTTTTTTCAGATAAATTGCTAGAAGTGAAGCTTCTGTGTGTTCCATAACAACATATACTAATTTAAAAGTCATATCAGTTTGTGTTTGAATCATGGGACCTCTTTTCTGAGAATGCATCTTTTTCACATCTTTTTTACACACAAGGGCTTGGGCTCACTGTTCTTTCAGAATTCTCTCACCTCTAAAATGCTGATTATTAACTGTGGGTATTACACAAATTATTATGTAGTAGTTGATAGCCTTTACTTTCAGTTACAATGAAAACCCCGCCTAATCGAAGATGAACAGTTGTGTTGTCTTTTGCTAGGGTTAATCATAAGCCTTTTTATTTGAGGTTTGAGAAAAGCATATGGCTACTCTAATACATTATATCTTTTGGCTCTTTGAGATAAGTGAGATGAAATATAATACTTAGAATAACAGTGAAGATAATGTAATGGAGAGGCAAAATCATGTTCATTACTAAATCCCTGCCAAATGCTCAGCTACTTACTGGAAAATTAGTTTTTAATAACATAATGAAAGTGAAAGCCAATCCACTCTGTTGACTTTGAAAATGTCACTCTCTAATGTAGTAGTGGACAGCATGTAAAAAGTCCTTTGCATGTATCCTGGGATTATCCATCATATTTTGAGATATCGAGAGAATATAGATACTGGGTCCTTAGGTAGTAGACAACTAAAATGTTATATTTAGTTGGAAGGAAAAGACTTACTCCTTCTTGCATTTATGAAGGGATACTTGTAGCTCAATGTGCAAAAAAAACTGGGTTTTAAGAGTTATACCTCTTATTCCTGGTTATGTGATAATTAAGTTTTTTCTGGGGTAGTTCTGAAATGTTTAAATGAACATAAGCATAAACGAAACAAAACTCACAGAGGTCTTTGATGACAGGAAGAAAGTCAATTCGCTGCAAAATGCTTAACTGAGTGAGACTGTATAAGGTTTCAAAGTGATTTGCATGTTGAAAATAAACCATGATTTTTTGAGTTCACAAAGTTCCCTCTCAATTTATGGAGTACAGAGGCATATAATTTCAAGGACTTATCAGGCTCATTATTCACATTATAAAATCAATGAAATATCTGCATTAAATAGGCTATATATATATACACATACACACACACACACACACATATATATAAAAAGTCTGGGGTGTAGTGGTGCAATCACAGCTCACTACACTGGGACATGTCACCACACCTAGCTAATTTGTTTTTAATCTTTTGTGGAGACATGAGCATCACTTTGTTGCCCAGGCTGGTCTGGAACCCCTGCCTCAAATGATCTGCCTGCCTAGGCTTGCAAAATTATGGGACTACAGGCATGAGCAGTGACCAAGTTTTAATTTTTAAAAGTTAATTATCTAGAACATAAACTCAGTGAAAGCTGGAAATGTACAATTATTTTCTTAATCCAAAATACTTTATTATGGGTAATACTCATTTAATATTTATTGGTAATCACTGAGAGCCAAGGTAAAGGGGTAAAGGGATGAGCCAAATGAATCTAATGTCATGATTTAAATAAGTAATTCTCAAATTAGGGGGTTTGGGTAGAAAAATATCAAAAGGTCTTGTAGTTAAAAAAAAATCAATATGCTTAACATGCCTATTTATTTTCTTAAACTATAGAAAGCAAATCTCACATGCTTTGCTTGTAAGAATATGCACAAAAAGTACATGCTGTATTAACTGAAAAACTCTAAGTACTATATTTTAATTTTGTGAATATGAGTGATGTCATGTAGACTGCTATTTTCAATACATTATAACATTACCAAAATGTTCAATTTTCTACCTTTAAAAAGTAGGAAAATATTCACTTGGCAACCTACCATCAAATTAATAACTGATTCAAGTAAGAATTACCAACAATACCAAAACTAGCAGATGCAAGTTGGAAGAGAAACAGCATATATGCAGTATCTGCCCACAAACTACTTACTATTTCCAAAGGGAAAAACCCTGAAGAAACTACTTTACATTGGTGCATGCAAAGAGGTGAACATACTGATGTTGACAGCCAGAGTCTTTCCATATAATTGCTTAAAGCAAAAATTATCACATGGTTTTGAGGGTTAGCTACATAAGTAGAGGTAATGCACATGTCAACTATAGCATGAAGGATGAGAAGAGGACAGAAGGACCTATATAGTTGCAAGGTTTCTACATTTTACGTTAAGCAGTACAATATTAACTCTAAGTGGATTGTTAAAGGACTTACTTTGTTAAAATTGATAAAAAAGCAAGACCTAACTCTATTTGTTTACAAGTCATGAATTTTACATATAAACATACAGGTTAAAAGTAAACTGATAGAAAAAGATGTATCAGGCCAACAGAAAACACAATAAGAACTAAGTGGCTATGTTATTATCAAATAAAATAGACCTCAAGATAAAGATTACCAAACATAAAAAGACATTTCTTAATAAGTAAATGTAACATCTAATAGCAAAATTTTGACTAGTTTTGTTACTAAAGTTTGATTGGAACACAGTCATGACTATTAATTTATGTATTGTCTGTGGCTGCTTTTGTGCTGCAGTAGCAGAGTTGAGTTGTTGTGACAGAAACTATGTCCTATAAAGCCTAAAATATTTACTATCTGCCCCTTTACAGAAAATGTTTGCTAACTCTTGCAAAGGATTAAGTCACAAACAGAACACATGGCTAGTACAATGGTATACATGCCAAAAGCAAAGTTGTAAATATAGTTCATAACTATTTGAAAGGAGGAAAAGAATCAAATTATAGTAAGACTGAGTTTTAGGGAATATAACTTGATAAGTACGTATAACGTATGAATGAATGACCACACGTAGAAGTAGAAATTTAAACATATTTTCATTTAAGTGACAGTCCTAACTCATGACAGAATCTCTCTTTATTCTTAAATAACTAGTCCTTTTAAGTAAATAGACCCAAAGGGATACTGACCTGATAATTTCCTAAGACACAGCATACAGTTTCATTATTTTCCTTTTCTCCTGACATTAAATTAATGAACAATTTAATATAAACTTCAACCAACCAAATTTTATGAGACGTGTCTATTTGTTCAAGTGGCAAGTGTAAATAGTAAAAGAAACTGTGTTAATGTATACTTTGGAGACAAACTCTCCCCAGCAAAATTTTAAGAGGATGTGAGTAATCCTAATATAATGATGCACTTCCTAAGTTTTGTTTTTTCCATCAGGAAATGGACATGCATACACACATACAAAACCCTGACTATGGTGGTGGTTCAAATTTGACTAAATTTTTTTTTTAGAAAAAAATATTTACACACACTTTTGCTTTTTAAATGAGGTACAAGGTCCAACAAGAAAACAAAAGTAAGTGATATAATAAAGGCACTCAGAAAAACAATAGAAACAATATGAAAGGTGTTACAAGAGACAGAAAGAGATGAAGGGTGATGATTAGTACTCACTTTCAAAGCTGCAGTATGGACTTTCCTCTTTAGGGAGAGAAGATTAGAAATAAACAGGTTAAAATTACATTAAAAAACGGCTACAATATATATATGGGGTAATTATATAGATCTTTAAGAAAAGGCAAACTGAGTTCTTTAAACACATACTTGTGAGAATGGGATAGATCTGTATTATCTAATAGGATGGTTATCAAAATTACATTTAATAAAATTAAAAATTTAGCTTTTTCAGTTGCACAGGCCACATTTCAAGTGCTCAATGGCCACTTGTAGCCACTGGCTATGGTATCAGACATCACAGAACATTGCCATCACAGAAAATTGTATAGGGCAGCACTAGGCTAGGCTGTCTCAAGATGTCTGAATTGTAAAGATAGATTGATTTTCCCTAGAGTTTTTGGTTCATTCATTCATTTATTTCTTTAATATTCTTCAGTCTTATCTATCCACTTAAACTTTTTCATATTTGATTGAAAATGCATGCAATTTTAAAAGAGAAACAGAATGTACCTCCTCTATAGAACAAATAGTAATTTAAAATGTTTTACTCTGTATAATACCTTTTAAAAAATTTCTAGAACTGCACAAATCTAAATTCACTTAAATCAAAGAGAGATATGGTGAAGAAAACACCAACTAAAATTAATGACTGTAATGGTATAGCAATAAAATCAATCAAAATATTGATGTAAAAACTTCTTACACAGTAGTTAGAGCATATGATTCAAGTGAAAAGTACAGAAGGACCCTTGTATTTAAAAAAACCATAAAGGTATTTAACCTATGCTTTAAAATTAAATGAACCAATTAAAAACTATTTAAGACAACACATTAAATACAATTCATATCAGAATTAACAGTAAATAATATTTTTCTGAATATGCAGCAAGAGTAGAATCCAAATTATCCTTATATAAATCAATTATAGATGATCTGGACCACTATGCGACATTTGAAAAAAGAGAAAAAAAAACACTAAATATACCTTACAAAAAACTTCTACAAGTTATTAGATTTTTTATGAGACAGCTATTGTGTTAAATGTAATCATTTAAATGTAATAGTTTAACACAATAACAGTTTTCTAATTTTTATATATTTTATTACCATTGCATTTTTTTCAAATTTAGAAATTATGCCACATGTTACTGCATTTTAAATGCAGCAATAAAAATTATTTTAAATTCACTAATATTCTCTTCTCTGCTTCTTCAGAGAAAAACTTCTCTAGCATTATCATACCTTCTCTCTTTTAACTTTACTTTTTATTTTTACTCCCTCTATATTTTTATTTTGTAATCTTTAGGATTGTTATATCAAGAAAGTTTGGTCTTAAGATCTAAATAATCACAAATGACAATAAATAAGACAGGCAACACAGAATAGAAAGCAACTAAGAAAAAGGAAAGAACCTTAGAAAAATGATAATGAAGGTTAAAAATGATTTTCTAATGTAAGTACCAAAGAAAGCCTTAAGCAATAAAAGCCAGAAACAAAAAGTAAAACTTAAAAATTTAAATTTCTATTCAAACTATCAAATAAAAAACATGCATCAGATCAGGGTCTTTACTAAATTAGATAACTTATTGTTATGAAGTCACAAATTAACTCCCCTACCCACTCCCTCCAATAGATAAATACATCAAAAATATCATTAGATTACAAATTCCAAAATGCCATAATGTCTATATACTGAGATTCACAGTTTCTGGATTTATTTTTCCACCACTTAAACTGTGGATCATTGCTATCATGTGGGAGTGTTTGTTCAATTCCTCTTGCTGAAGTTTCACCAAGGACTCTTTCTCTTCCAAACGACCTTCTAATTGTGCCTTTTGAACCTCTAGGGAGGAAGCCTAAGGAATTGGGGTTGGGGGAGGAGGAATAATTGAGAAGAAAAATAACTTTAATATTTTCTCTATACATATACTTTAAGATGCTTTTATTTTTTTATTTGTACAACAACCATTTCAAGAAATACTATAAATATTATACTTCAGTTAATTCAATTATATGGTAGTTTAAAATGAAAAATCATTAAACAATATAATACAAATTGAGAACACTTTCAACTTAAGTTAATGCCAGCAGCTGAAATTTTGCAGAAAATACTACACACTACATATTAAAATTACTAATAAGATAATTACCTTAAAGCAGAACCAGAAAAACTGTAAATGTGATACTAAATTTTATGCCTCTTCCGTTACTCAGTAGTAGTAGTAGATCAGTCTTTCAATCCTAGTCTGTTCTCATCTTTCTGGTAGTAAACAGGCCAGAAAGTACAATTCATAGCTACCACTCAAGCTATGCAACCATGGTAATATAGAAAGAACCCTGGACTCAGATTCAGAATATATGTCTGCTGATTCACATATTAGCTGTGTGACTTTAGTAAGTAACCTCAGACTCAGTTTCTTCAGTTCTAAGTTGAAAATATTTATTAATATTAGCATATTATATAATATTTGTTAAAGTGAAAATTATACAGCTACCTATGTATGACATCAAGTACTGGTAACCCCTTTCTATATTCTTTGCACACTTGAAAATAGTAAGTGCTGACACAAAGTATCTGTTTAATAACCGCTTAACTATTTTAGAAAATACATTATGAAAACCTCATAACAAATGATACTCAAGCTGCTTTGAGATCCTAATATCTTCTAAAAAATTTGCTGAAGAAACAGTACATTTATTTATCCATATTTACCCTTTTCACAACAGACTTTTTCATTTTACTGCAAACGAGAAATGGAACAGATTCTTACCTTAATGCTCAGCTCTTTTCTTATCTGTTCTGTTCTGCTTAATTCTTTTCTAAGGATATCAATGGTTTCTTCCTTATCTTCCCTTTCCTTTTGTAAGGTTTTAATCTTTTCTTCTTGTACTTTTGTTTTCTGATGCAAATCTTAAAAAAAAAAGTCAAGTATATACTCAGAGGTCTTACACTGACTACTCTGAAATGGTTTAGTAGCTACTATAAGAGCAAAAGAAAAATAACTAGAACAATGAAGAGAAACTTCTTTTTTATGACAGTATTCTATAGAAAATACCAAATCTCTATGTCTTTCTTCCATCCTCTGTTCTAAATATAACATGCTATATAGGTGAAGGACAATCCTCAGAGTGTAAGGGTTAGAAAAGGGAGAGCTACAACTATGAAAAATTATATAGGTAGGTGCCTGCGCTCTAAGGCAAGTGAGAACAAAAATGTTTTTCTGGATCATTTCAAATATACCATTAAGAAGCTAGTAACTAAAAGTTACCTAATACTGCCACCTGCTGTTATGTTCCTTAAACTTTTTTTTATTTTGAAAAGGGCAATCCATAATCCTAAATTATTTAACGAAGGAACAGAAAACCAAATACTCCAAATTTTCACTTCTAAGTGGGAACTAAACATTGAGTACACATAGACATAAAGATGGAACTAATATATACTGCACACTAGAGTTGGCAGGGGGTCGAAAATTACCTATTGCTACCTATTTGGTACTATGCTCACTACCTGGGTGATGAGATCCATACCCCAAACCTCCATGTCATGCAATATACCCAATGTAACAGACCTGCACACATGCCCCTTGATTCTAAAAGTTGAAATTATAAAAAAACTAAATTAAATTAAATGGGCAATCATCTCTTTCCTCTTTTTCTTTGAGACAGTCCTGCTTTATCACCCAGGTTGGAGTGCAGTGGCATGAACATAGCTCACTGCAACCTTGATATCCCAGGTTCAAGTGATTCTCCAACCCACTTTAGCCTCATGAGTAGCTGGAACTACAGGTGCACACTACCACACCTGGCTAGATTTTTGTATTTTTTGTAGAGATGGGGTTTCACCATGTTGCTCAGGCTGGTCTCAAACTCCTGAGCTCAAGAAATCTACCCATCTCCGTCTTCCAAAGTGCTGGGATTACAGAAGTGAGACACTGTGCCTGGCCAATTTCTTATAGTTCCTAAATTTAAAAAATGTACTGCTTTTTCAGCTTGATCAAACTGAACTGCTTTTGTGAAACATTATGTCAAGAAAAGGGAAGCCATTTCAAATGTGATTTAAGGTTTAAAACAATAAGGGAAGTAGAAAATAAAAAAGCAAACAAAACCACTCATGCTTCCAAAACAAATACATTAAAAATAGACAATGTATTAAATAAGAAGCCACTTACTTGCTAGCTTATGTTCTCTGTCTACTAGCTGATTCTGTACTTCTTTTCTCTGTTCTTCTTTCTCTATTAATTGGGCAATACTTCTGAAGTTATAAAAAAAAATGGAAGAAAACATTAATGAACCATATGCCATTTGTAACGGTTTTTCCCCTAACAAGCACTTTGGGAGGCCAAGGTGGGCGGATCACAAGGTCAGGAGATCGAGACCATCCTGGCTAACACGGTGAAAACCCATCTCTAAAAAAAAAAAAAAAAGGAAGGTCTCGCTCTGTCACCCAGGCTGGAGTGCAGTGGCATGATCTTGTGCTCATTGCAACCTCTGCCTCCCAGGTTCAAGTTATTCTCCTGCCTCAGCCTCCTGGGTAGCTGAGATTACAGGCACCCACCACAACACCCAGCTAATTTTTGTATTTTCAGTAGAGACAGAGTTTCACCATGTTGGCCAGGCTGGTCTCAAACTCCTGACTTCATGTGCTTCACCCACCTCAGCCTCCCAAAGTGCTGGGACTACAGGCGTGAGCCATCACGCTCAGCATTTAAAACAAAATTTCTAAGAACAGCAATTGCCTGTGAATTCCACCAAATATATATCTTATATCTAAAATAAGTGATAATTCTATTAATTTTATCAATAAAAAACAATGTTCTATATAAAGAGAATCATTTTGGTTTTGAAAAATCCCACGTATTCAGAATATAGAACTAGAGATTTTACTTTTCATTTTGTTCCTTGAGTGACTCATTCAACTTTTTCACTGTCTCAATGTGTTTATTCAGAGAATCACATGTGATCTGTAAATCTTTATTCTTCTTTTCAGTACTTTCATTTCTGAAAAGACAAGAAAATGAGTTGGCATCATTATGGAGGAAAACATGAAGGAGAAAAGAAACTCAATAGTGTTTTCTTTACTATCTCTTCTAACCAAATTGCATATGCTAGAAGAGAAGGAATGTTATGAACAAGCAGGACATAAACAGAATTTGATCAACTCTAAAAGGCAGTAAATACATGTTTTGGTTGACAGATGTAGTAAAAATTACTATGAGATAGAAATGTGTGGGGCATTAATCTCATATTTATGGATATAAAGCCTTATTTTACAGATGATATTGCATTACATAATTTGCTATAAATAAGTTTAGGGTTCTACATTTGTCTCTTTAAAACTCTGCATCTAATAGTCCTATTTATTTTATCTGCAAAGTAAACACAGAAAAAAATCCTTTCTAAAGTGATACTTTGATACTCAACTACCATAAGCATAAAATGTCCTTTTTATTTCACTAAGTACAAAGATTTTAAAAAAGCAACCCAAAAACCAAACCAAAACAAACAAAAGAAAACCAGTAGCCAAATTTGGCTAGCAGTTTTTGTATCTAATCCATATAGAAATTTCAACAATCTGAGTTTGAGTACCTTTAGACAGTCCTGACCATTACAAATGACCTTTTCCCCAGCCAGCTTCATTTACATGTTATCCATTTGTCCATTCAAGGAATTTCACCTTCTGGCCCCTAAATCACTAGCTGGAACATAAGCAGGTCTTAGAAACCACATATTTTTCTTGGACCCTGCCTATCTCTTAGGTTCTCTATGTGAGACATAGCAGGGACCCCCTTTTTAGGAGGTCTGAGGACCTCAAGCTGGAAAATAAAGGAAAATCCTGAGTTCATTCAAGGGAAATTCCAGGGACCTAGCTAGTCCTAGAAGTAAATAAGTAACTTGTTAAACAGGAAGGTAATAGTAGCCTAAATCAATAGTTAACAATCTTAAGAGTACCAGAGAGACTTGATTCTTTATAGAACTTGAAGAAAACAACTTAACACATGTCCCTGAGTAGTATTTCAGAGACCCGGCCCTCACTGAGGAACCCCACTGACCAGATCCATTGACAAGTAGACCTCAGATAAGGGGGAAATTAAGGCTGAATTTTAACAACTGTTCTTTGTTCTAAGTTTCTTTCTCACGGTCTTGAACAAAGTCACCCTCCCTAGCTAGTTCACATTTTTCTACTGACCCTAAATTTTTAAACAAGGCTGCTCTTCCTTAACCAACTGCAAATCGAAAAATCTTTGGGTCTACCCATTACGTGTAAGTCCCTGCTCCACAATATCTTCTCCTTTAAACTGAAACCAATGTGTAACCTTTATTGATTTATGATTTTTGCCTGTAACTTCCACTTTCCTGAAATTTACTCCTGCCTTTAAAAATCCTTGTCTGCAAGCTACTGGGGGATGGTCAAGATTTGAGCATTTGGCTGCCTGGTCCTCCTTGCTTGGCACTCTGCAATAAAAGCCTTTTGTTCTATCACTGCAAACCTTGGTGCAGACACCTGGTTTTACTGTATTGAGCAAACGGACCCCATTTCAGTTCTATAACATATTTTCTTCACTGCTGAAGTTCTCAACCTGGCTTATTGCTAATACCACACTTTATCAGTGGTGCCTCAAACAATCAGACTTTGTAAAAAGTTGCTAGGGAAAATATCCTGCTAAAAAATTACTTTGTCATCATTTTCTAGATACTATTCATTTCTCACCCTTCATTATTATTGATGGGCAAATAAGCATATGTACCATGCCAAGCTAAAAATTTCTGTATCTCTGTATTAACAGCATAGAACGACCTTAAAATATAAAGTAATAAACAAGTTCCCCCAGAGTGCTTTTACTTTTATTGGTTGGTAGAAAATACATAATTGTTCCTGGTCTTCCCCGTAATTCAGAAGTTTTACAATTGGCGTAAAAAGGTAAGAGTTTATAAGGGAGGGAAAACCAATCACACTTTGTTAGTAGGCACACAAATTGGTACAGGCTGAGCAACACTAATTTGAAAATCCAAAATCAGTCTAAAATCAAAAGTACTCCAAAATATTAAACTTTTTGAGTGCTACCATTGTGTTCAAAAGGATATTCAATCTGTATCACATTTTGGAGGAAAATTTTAAAATATCTATCAAAATATTAAATATACATACCCTTTAACTTAGCAATTCACCTATGCAAACTTATTCTACAGATATAATCACACATGTAAGTAAACTATAATCAATGACATTAAGAGATGAGTTAAACACACCTAGATTTCCATTCTGTTAGGCTGAATGATATGAAATTGCCAATATTCAACTACTTTTGATCTGCAGAAATGACCATTCAACCTAATACTAATTTGACAACTAAGTTTATTTAGAAATTATTAATGAAGTGCCTAACTATGCAGCAAGCACTCCTGCAGGCCCTAGGGATCTGTCAGTGATCAAAACAGACAAACTTGTCCTTGTGGAGCTTATCTCTCAAATGACTGCTGACTGTATGAATACATAAAAGTCAACTGGAAAGACCTGTATTTTGTTTCCAACATTGATACTGAATTTGAGGAAGCAACACTTCATTTCATAATGACTTAAGTTTCTTGCTAATTACTTACCTTATGTGTTATCAGAATACATGAAATGCTTACAAAAGGATTTTCGGGTCTCAGAAAAAAAATGCTGTTTGTTCATTCTAGATTCTAACCTTACACAGGAGATTTTACTTTATTTACCTCTGAAGAAGTTCCATGTAGGATTTTGTCAGTATTTCATGCTCTTCAGCCACAGACTCTAACTTCCTATTATGTTGAAAGAGATGCTCAATATCACTCTGGGCTCTTTCTGATTCAACTTGCTGTGCCTTCAGCAACACACTAAGCTCTTCATTTTTTTTCTCAACTTCTCTCAACATACTAGCAAGTGTCCGTGCCTTAAAAAAAAAAAAAAAAAATAGACTTTTCCATCATCTATATCATATGCTCAACACATACCTAGAATTTAAAAGTTTACTAAGTAACTAATAAGCTGGTATCTATTGGGTCATGCAAAGCTGTATTAGTCATATATACTTAAGACTTTACTTCTAATAAGTTGGATACTGTTATGATTTTTAATTTAATATATTATCTGATAAAAACAATCTCACTATGATCAAATTAATGGAAATGGATACAACTGCAGCAACATGAAGGTAGCGCTACATACAGTATTCAATTAAAAAGGTATGGTCCTCAGAGGTAGCCATTAACACTAAACTGCTAAGTGTGCACACCATCAGCATTCTCATTTCAGGTGAGAATTAAGAACAAAATCTTAACAACATCACAGATGCTTAATCAAACACTTAAAATTAAGCTAGTATAATCAAGGAATGTAACCTATACCATAACCTGCATATATTTATTATGTGATATGAAACACTAAAAAAGCAGAAAAGTCACTAGAATAAAAAAACTCGGTTCCCTCGAGCCCTTTGGACTTTATTTTAGAATGCTAAACAAAACCCTAAGCCCTTCTTTGTTTTTATGATTTTGTAAAGAAGCTATATCCAGTTATTTAGTACTATTTTTATAAGAAACTTTTCCAGTAACATGGATAAAATACTAAACTCTCTAATAAAATACAAGACATGTCCAACAGACAGATAATGTAAGAATGTGCTATGAGAAGAGAAGGAAAAATTACTTTAATATCACTAATGTTCTTTCTTGTAATTTGTGACAAATTCAACATACCAGTTAAGACAAATGAAACCATGTTAAAATAAGAAAAAAAGAAATAAATACGGGGGGAAAAAAAAAGAATATCATTATTCTGAAAATACTTCAGAGGCATTTTACTAGTCACTCATTTTGATGCATCTATCAAAAGCCAGGAACACTTTATTATAATTCATTCATTATAAATAATATCAAGTTGTATAGATTCCATTTGTATCTGCTAGTAATTTCATATTGCTGCAGTAAGTTCACTCAAGGTATACATTATATATGTACATAGTAGAATGCCAAATTTACTGAGCATCTATAACGTGCCGAGTGTTATGCTAGGGCCTGGAGCTATAGAAGCAGTCTTTGATACCATGAGTGGTGGGATAAAAGAATTTCCACATGGTTTGAAAAAAGTTATTGAGAGATAAGCATAGGTTTGATACACAGAGGAAGGATCGTCAAACATATGTGTGGGAAGGAGACCAGACTAGGCTTCTGGGTAATGGGGGTATTTTAACTGAAATCTGAAGGATTATGAGTTAGGCAGAAGAGAGGAAAAGGTGTTCCAGACATGCTAAGTCAAGGAAAGTCGAGGAAATACCAGAATATATCAAGTTCCAGAAAAAACACAGTAGCCTAACATGGTTGACTGCAAAGAACGCGCAGAAATGAAAGATGTAGATTGAGGACTATGTAGTTAGATTCCTTATACGCCAAACTAAAGAATTTTAATGATATTCGGAAAGCAACAGCAGCTACTGTGAAAGATGCTCAGCACAAGAGGGACAGGATCATTTTACTGCCTTAGAGATCCCTGGGGGAGGGGCTAGGTGAAGGGGTAGAACCAAGGAAAGATGACTGGCTGTAGAGTAGCTGAGAAGAGGGTAGAAGACTACAGGTAGGAAGACTAATTGCTCTGCTATGATTCATACAAAAAAAAGAAAAGGATTCAGCCTATAACAAATAGTGGTAGAAACAGAGATACGGCAGAAAAGAGTAATATTTAGAAGGTAAAATTAACTGGACTTGGTGAATAATTACAGGAGGTAAAAACTGTGTGATTTCCAGGGTTATTTGTAGAACACTAAAAACAGCAGAGGGAATACATAAGAATAATTCTAAAAAGGAGAGGGCGATTAGTTCATTATTGGTTATGTTGAGTTTGTGGTATTTGCTGTATATTTAAATGGAGCAACATAAGCACTTGGTGCTCAGGAAAATGATCTGTGCTTGACATATAAAATTAGGAACATTACTATTTTGGTAACCACTGAAACCACAGAACACAAAACTGAAGGATAAAGGTTTAGAGCAAAATCTTCAGAGTCCCCAATACTTAAAGGTACAACATAAATAATACAGGAAAATACTACTAGATAGGAAAAAAAATCAGATAATGATGTAATCAAAATTAGAGGACAGAATTTCAGGAAGAAGGAAGTAGGCATGTCAAATGCTAAGGAGAATTTAATTCAATTAGAGCAACAAATACACAACTAATATTTTGCATGTTTTACTTCATTTTTAAAATTTTTCTAGAAATCAGATGTGTCTTTATACTCTACACACCTCTGTTTCAGCTTGAGTTCTTTGACAGCGATGCTGAGCAATCAGTCTATCAGCTTGTGCAAGGGCTAGAGCTTTTGTTTCCAAAAGATCTTGTAGCCTGCTTTCTTTGGACTACAAGAAAACATATCATTAATTTTCATTTTAGGAACACATCTATTAAAGCATATTATACATCATTAAAATAAGCTTATACTCACAGCTAATGTGGATAGTTTCATTTCATATACATCCATTATGTCAGATATTCTCACATCACAAATCTGATCCTTTACCTACATTTTAAGAAAGTAAAAAAAAAATCGAGAAATTTTAATAAAATATTTTGACACAATGACAAAATAAGTGCCTACTTCAAAACTAAATCATTAAAACTTAATGATGAGTAACAAAATAAAAACAAATGCTACATCAGAAAGGTCACAAATATTTCTCTTTTCTTTTTTGAGATGGGTCTCACTCTGTCACCCAGGTTGGAGTGAAGTGGTGTGATCGTGGCTCACTGCAATCTCTGCCTCCCGGGTTCAAGTGATTCTCCTGCCTTAGCCTGTCGAGTAGCTGAGACAACAGGCATGTGCCACCACGCCCGGCTAATGTTTTGTATTTTTAATAGAGATGGGGTTTCGCCATATTGCCCAGGCTGGTCTTGAACTCCTCAGCTCAGGCTATCTGCCCGCCTCGGCCTCCCAAAATGCTGGGATTACAGGTATAAGCCACCACACTCAGCAAAATGTTGAAATTTTGACTGATTTTTCTTCATTTCCAAATTTTCCAGAATATTGTTATTTTTTATATTAAAAAATAAGTTTTCAATAGTGAAATCTGTACCTAACAGTGTTTAGATACACGTTATAATAGGGGCTGACATGTAGCTAATATGTACCAGGTTATAATTGCTATTTTTCACTCACCACCATTCCAGACTGAAGTTTCTCTATTAATTCTTCAATATTCAATCCAGGAACACCATCTTTCAAATGAGGAGGAGTTAAACACTTTACTGATGTAGGAAAACTGTGATTTGATGATTGCCAGGACATTTTTCTGGGTATATGTTCTGTTTCCTGTTGTCTATAGGCATTATTTGCTGCTATACTTTCTCCAAGTCTGAATGGGAGTCAAAGAAAGGAAAAAAATATATATGAAAATAGAAAAAAAAGGCAGACTTAGTGTAGAATTAGGGAATCTTTAAGAATGGGTCCTTTTTTTGAATAGATGTCTTCAAATAATCTTGGAGACCATGATGAAATGAAGTCTTCGGAAATATTCCAAATTTTCCGGAGCATCTACTTTTCTGTTTCTAACCCTTTATAATGACAGTTTCACTTCTGGTTTGGAGGCATTGTAAGACTAGTTTATGAGTGTGGATTATCTGTAATAAGTACAAAGTTATTGGTACTGGTCAGAATAATGTTCTTATCATGGGGGATATCACCTGGCCTTTACATCCTCAGTCCTTTACCTTTCTCACTCAGTACATACTTTTCACCAACCTGACTTCCATTCTAGCCCTTTAAAATCCTCTCTTTCTCCTACCCCAGGCCTTCATATGAGCTGTTCCTTTACCTGGAACATGCTTTCTACCACATCTCCACAGGTCTGGCTCCTTCTTATCCTCAGGTCTTAGTTCAAATTCACCTCTTCAGAGAGGCATTCATTAATGCCCTATATAATACTATTATTAAGCACTCATCCTCTCCATAGTGAAGTGAAAAAAATATTTTTTTCACTTATCTCTTAACTAAAGTACAAACTGCATGATGGCAGGCACTCAGTCTAATTTACCATAGGCTGGGCATGGTGGCTCACACCTATAATCCCCACACTTTGGAAGGATCACTTGAGTCTAAGAGTTCGAGACAAGCCTGGGCAACATGGTGAGACCCTACCTCTACAAAAAATAAATACATTAGGCAGGTGTGGTGGCACACGCCTGTGCTCCCAGCTACTCAGGGGGTTAAGTAGGGAGTGTCACTTGAGTCCCAGAGGTCGAAGCTGCAGTAAGTCATGATCACACCACTGCACCCCAGGCTGGGTGACAGAGTGAGACCCTGTCTCGAAAACAAACAAGTAAATACACACACAAAAAAATCATACCTACCAATGCATCCATAATATACATTCAGCTTATTAAACTGCCCAAGATAATGTCAAATAAGGGCACTAAATAGCAAGCATAAAATGGACACCTGAGATAATGCTCAAAGAGAAAGTTATATACAACACAAATAGGATAGGGAATGCCAAGACACAGTGAAAATGGTGGGAAGGCCTCACATACAGAGGCAGAGGATAAGACTCCCATGTTCAGTGAGGCTGCAAATTTCCCCTTTGAAGCTTTTGAAGTTTTGTTTCATGTCAGATTACCAGTTTATGCAAGTAGGCCATCACAAAATAGAGCAGCTTTACAGACCACTTTTAACTTGTAACTTGAAAAGCTTCCTATGTATTTTTGTTGTTGCTGTTAAAAAAAATTTATTATAAAATTAAGGGAATTTTGGTTACATGTTCTCTAGGTCTTACATCTCATACTTTAACTCTTAAGGTATGATGACCTAAATTGCTAATTCTAAAAAGTGGAATTGCTAAATCAGTGAATAGCATATAGCATGGACCAGCACACTTTTTCTTATAGGTCAACAGTAAGTATTTTAGACTCAAGAGCCTACTTGGTCTCTGTTACAATTACTCAATTCTGCTTTTATAGAAAGCAACATAGAGTATAAAAATGAGTGAGTGTGGCCATATTCTAATAAAACTATTTACAAGAACAGGTGCCTGCCCACTGGCCAGTTTGCTGACCCTGGTATATAGGGAATATCTTACCTGTTTATCAACTGCTTCAAATTATTCAAACCATTTTTACAAATTTGTATGTATAAATGACTTAAAAAAAGTTTTTAAACCAGACTCCTAATAGACATTTAGTTCAGAGAGACCTGAAACCTGATTTTTTTTCCAACATAATTGCAAATACTCTTATTGCTTGAAATTAACAAGTATAGTAGAAAATTTTGCCTGGTAGTCATTTTTCAACTTTCTGATAAACGCTCAGATTTTTTTCTTTAGGAACTCTCCTATTCTCCTATCCCAAGTAACTTTTAGTCCACATCGTCCTCACTGATGACCCAGGACTGGTCAATGACTAATGCTTAGACCTTTTCCTTAAACAGTTGGGAAGGAAAAGCTCTTTCTATAGAGGAACTAAACTGGGAGGATGTAAGCTTAGTGTCCAGAAGTTATCATTAAAAATAAGTGGCTAGAGACATAGAGGGATGGTACCTGAAAAACATTTAACTGCCTGGATCTAGCTTTTCCCTGAGTGAGTATACATCTGAACTTCTCATTTCTAAGAATCAAACATTTTTAGAAATCATTTGAAAAATTACTATTACAATGAAATCTTCAATTCACTAATTTGCTTGTCTATCTACACTGAGGACTAAAGAAACATAGCAGGGTATTCCAACACCACAAGAGATAACAATGCAAATGATTACAACTCACACTAAAGCAGGAAAATCTGGCAGTGGAGCAGCTTCCAATAATATTCTCAGCCCAGACTGTACTTGTTCTCTATTATCTGACGTTAAAGCAAAAGCCAAAGGAGTAATCAAACGTGGGTCCTAAATAAATCAGACACCAAAAAAGCAGCAGCAGAAAGAATAAATGATGTCAGCTCTTTTAGATATGAGGTGAGTAAATATATCTAAATCTTAATTCTAGGCAAATTCTAAAATGTTTCTAATGTTTGAATATATTACAGTCTATATTATAATATAGTTTGAATATATTATACCTTGTTAAAGCTGTTGACACTGCCATGTAATCGATACGAACACTAGTTTAAAAAAAACCTGGCAAAGGTTTTGAATGCTTTCAAATGTGCCTATAAAAATTATAACTTACATATTTTCATGGATTAAAAAACCGACAACTGACTGACGTGTAGAATTAATGTTTTTTCCAAGCTATCATTTAAAAGAAAAAAATGGCCAATCACTTCCAAATTAAGGCCATAAAATAAAAAGTAAAATTCAAATTAAATTAGAACATTTAAATTTAAAGAACAAAAAAATACTTACTTCAATCATTCATGTCAGTAAATATTTTACATTAGTATTGTACGTCCCAACTCATCAACATATATCTAAAATGTCTGCGACCAGAAGTGTTTCAAATTTCTGATTTTTTTCAGATTTTAGAATATTTATATATACTTACTGGTTGGGCATCCCTAATTCAAAAATCCAAAATGCTTCAGTGAGCATTTCCTTTGAGTATCACCTTTGAGCCTCATTTTGGTACTTAAAACATTTTGCTTTTTGGAGCATTTCAGATTTTCAAATTAGGGATGCTCAACCTGTATTATGAAAAACATATCTTAAATAATGGACAAAACATCAGTTTGACTCCTTTAAAAAATACATTGAGATATTGGTGAAGAAAATATTAAAATATAAATCCCTTATAATTAAAATGTTGAGTACCTTGTAGGTACTTGAGCATAATTTAATGTCATAGAACTGTGATAAGAACAGAGCTTTATCTCCAAAACCCTCAGTGGTAAGCCTCATTATTTCCAGTTCGTAGTCGAGGAAATTGAAGTTGAGTGAGGTGAAATAATTTACTCAAATCTGTACTAAGAACTAGTAGAGTCAACATTTGAACTCAGTCCCTTAAACATGTTCTCAAAACATACCAGTGGTCCCTGCCTAAGGTTTCAGTTTTGGCTTCTACACTGTCTACATAGTCACTAGAGCCATCTCTGTTAAGCTACTATAGTAACTTAATTCACACATTTTTATTAAACATCTGTTGTAAAGGTAGGTGCTGTAGATATCAAGGTAGATATTATTACACAAAGTTTTTAAGAGGCCAATGTTTTGGACTAGTCTCCTACACTATGCTTTAGCAGACCAGACCAAACCAGAAAGGAGTCACTTGGATGAGTGCCATGTAATCAAACTGCACTTTGAAATGGGCCAGTTTTCCCCAAAACCAGGAGACTTCAGTCAACCTGAGTCAGTGTAATAAGGAACCCCCCTTTATTATAACTCTATAAGAAAAGTAACTTTGAAATGACCAATCTGCTTTCAGTTCCCTATTTGTGCTTTCTTCAGCCTTTTTCGGGTCTATAAAGTCAACTTTCTCTGCTTAGCCCAGGGGAATGATTCATTCTATTTTATAGAATGAGGCTGCCAAATTCTAGAATCACAAATAAAAGTCAGTTAGAACTTTGAACTAAATTTGTTGTACTTTGTCTTTTGATAACATTTAGAGATCTTATTCAGCTACTATCATCATTGAAATTCGTGACTTAGCTATTTTCTGCACAGCCCTTCTAATTATCACAATCAAGTCCTTTTCTTCCAGCTGTCTCCCTATCCCCTTAATACCCTACATCAACCCTAACCAAAAACAAAAACCCTAAAACAAATACCACTCTTCCTCCAACGCCAACAGAAACAAATGAAGAAATGTACAACACAAGAAAGGAAAAGGCTGAGGAAGCAGCACTATTGTGAACATTCTCTACATTAGTGTCATGAGCACGTATGTTCAATTCCTGTGAAAGTATATAAAATAACTGTGCAATGAGACTATTATAACTGCTTAAAACAACAACTTTATACATTCTTCTCAATGTCAATTCAGAGAGTTATCTTCTAAAGATTAAGAACATTAAAACAGAAACTTATATTAGGACCATTTTTGTATGAATAAACTTCAATGTTTGAAGAGTTTAAACTCACCTGAAGGATTTTGTAGAAGCTTACTTCCATACCAGGAACCAAAGGTTTAAGTTTGTTAATCAAATCAAGAGTTTTCAAAATTACATCAGCAGCAAGTTTGCTTTAAAGATAAGTCATATTTAAATTAGATAATTGAAAAATTTCTTAAAGCTTGTTTCTGTCCAAAATTCTAAAGAAAATGAAAAATCCAACACTTTTGTTTTTAAAATTCAAGATGATAAAGTCTTGTATCTATTGAGAAGTAAAAATCTCAAAGCAATCAACATTCTTATAACTCAAGACCCAAAGAGAGCAAACTGGCACTAATAGCCTTAGTTTACACAGTGTTTCTTTTATTACCAACATGCTTCAACTTTCTGTTTCAAGTAAGTAGTAGTTTTGAAATACAGTCCATTTAATTCTTAGCTTTGTTACTAGAATATCAACAATAGATGGTAACCTTAGGCAATATAGAATATCTAATATGTAATGAATGAATTATACTAGGTCATGTTCTGAGTTTTGTACCTGAAAGGAGTATACAAATATAAAAAAAGATAATTCTTACTCTAAAGGTGCACAATTAGTGACAATTGTGACATTTGTGGAAACAGAAACAAATCATAGTGTCTAGCACTTAGTAGGTCCTCAATATTTATTAGATGGACTTAATTCATGGGGGGGTATAAAATAATATCTTATTACCATCAGTGAAAATCCATCATTAACCATAATTCCTGACTTGCTAAGGAAGGAGAATTGTCTGTTATTAAAAAACCTTCAGCAGTGACTGATTTCCTTGTAATAAAAAGACCCTTCTGTTTTTTCATGCTTTTCATTTAAAAAAGTAAAATTATAGCTAATTACTGAGGCAATGTCAAAAAGGAGCTCCAGAAATGTTCAGAACCCTTAGATAATTACAGTAAGTTAAAACAAGACAAAACTAACCTAAACAATAAAAAACAACAAATTTAACATTTGTTCAAAAAGCATACAATCTACAAATTGAATGAATTTACAAAAAATTCATTATGAAAATATGTTTGTTAATCTGTTATACCTTAAGTTATAACCAAAGGATGGTCCTCCAAAAGGATGAGAATCACCACATCTTTTGATTTTTTACTGCCTTGCCATTTTGTCATTAGAGTTCATATACTCACCATAATTCTGAATCTGCAACCTTTGTTCCAAACCCCAGGTCAATCTTGCCATATGTAAACTGTTGTTCTATAAGAGTGGTACACTTGACAGTTGTCAGGATTTTTGCAATGTGCATTTTTAGCGTATCATCTCCACAGAGAGGTAAGTTTTGTTAAGACATACAACAAAAAAATTCTCACTTTATGTGTAAAAGGTAACATTCAGGATGATTTCACACAAATTATATCATTACTGTTGTCCAGTATAATTACTGTTAAATTAGCTCAATGACAGACAAGGAAATTGAAACTCACACAATTTAAATGAGTAGTAAGTGTTAAGAGATGGACTGGCACCAAAAGTTTCTGACTCAATGGTTAAAACAGTGAGGATATCTCTCCATTGGATGTCTGTTTTTTGTTAGCAAGAATCTCAATGGTTCAATAAATATGTATTGAATAAGGGGAAGTTGTTTTGTCATATTTGTATATTATAAATTAATGTAAATAGCAGCTATTTAAAAAGGGCCAAGCTGTGGTCTAATTCAATAAGAAGGCCCCACTTTAATAATTATAAATATCTCTAAGGTCAAGCAATCATGTATCCCTACTGCAGTGGTTTTCAACTTTGGCTGCATGTTAGAATCACCTGGGTAGTTTAAACAATCACAAACAAAAAAGCCAACACGCAAACACACACCACCTAATGATTTCAGGGTTTCACATCACTCCACTTAAATCAGGATCTCTTGAAGTAAGGTTCTGCATCGATTTTCTTTTTTTTTTAACATGTTCTCCAGGTGATTTTACATAGGAAATCAGGGTTGAGAATCACAGTTTTAAAGGAAGAAAATTAAGGAGCAGTACCTTAGAAGAGGATATTAAACAAGGTTGAGTTTGCTCTAGGACAGAGTAGAACATATTCTTGTTGCGCTGAGATACAAGGAAACCTGACTAGATACATTTAAGAGATCTGGTTGAGATACAGTGGCTCTTTACTCATAGTAAAAAAGTATTAATGAAATATTTTAAAATTGGGACTTGGACTTCTTAGCAACTCAGAATTAGTTGGTCTATGAAAAAGTAAACACAAGGAAGACCTAGAAAATCAGTATATAGAATTAGTGAAACTAATTGTTCAAGGTTTCTTTTTAAATGAATGAATTTGTGTTGACATACTTGTCTTTTCTTATAACCATTATTAAAGCAATCATGAAGGCTTTATTTTGAAAACATAAGGTAAAACAACTGAGCTAAAATCATGACAACTCTATCAGTATTTCTTTATCCACGAATACACATCACTAAAAAAATTGGCGCGGTGGCTCAAGCCTGTAATCCCAGCACTTTGGGAGGCCGAGACGGGCGGATCACGAGGTCAGGAGATCGAGACCATCTTGGCTGACATGGTGAAACCCTGTCTCTACTAAAA